AAATGCTCATATCTCGGAAACGGTAAGAGATAGCTCAAAAATAACGAAATTTTCGGGGGGTATCCTATGGGGGGTTGTACTTTCAGTCTTCTACACGATGACACCAACAGAATTCCTGGATTGTCCATAGTTATTTCTTTCTTTTGAAAAAAATGCTCATATCTCGGAAACGGTAAGAGATAGCTCAAAAATAACGAAATTTTCGGGGGGGTATCCTATGGGGGGTTGGTACTTTCAGTCTTCTACACGATGACACCAACAGAATTCCTGGATTGTCCATAGTTATTTCTTTCTTTTAAAAAAATGCTCATATCTCGGAAACGGTAAGAGATAGCTCAAAAATAACGAAATTTTCGGGGGGTATCCTATGGGGGGTTGGTACTTTCAGTCTTCTACACGATGACACCACAGAATTCCTGGATTGTCCATAGTTATTTCTTTCTTTTAAAAAAATGCTCATATCTCGGAAACGGTAAGAGATAGCTCAAAATAACGAAATTTTCGGGGGGTATCCTATGGGGGGTTGGTACTTTCAGTCTTCTACACGATGACACCACGAAAATTCCTGGATTGTCCATAGTTATTTCTTTCTTTTAAAAAAATGCTCATATCTCGGAAACGGTAAGAGATAGCTCAAAAATAACGAAATTTTCGGGGGGTATCCTATGGGGGGTTGTTACTTTCAGTCTTCTACACGATGACACCACAGAAATTCCTGGATTGTCCATAGTTATTTCTTTCTTTTAAAAAATGCTCATATCTCGGAAACGGTAAGAGATAGCTCAAAAATAACGAAATTTTCGGGGGGTATCCGATGGGGGGTTGGTACTTCAGTCTTCTACACGATGACACCACGAAAATTCCTGGATTGTCCATAGTTATTTCTTTCTTTTAAAAAAATGCTCATATCTCGGAAACGGTAAGAGATAGCTCAAAAATAACGAAATTTTCGGGGGGTATCCTATGGGGGGGTTGGTACTTTCAGTCTTCTACACGATGACACCAACAGAATTCCTGGATTGTCCATAGTTATTTCTTCTTTTAAAAAATGCTCATATCTCGGAAACGGTAAGAGATAGCTCAAAAATAACGAAATTTTCGGGGGGTATCCTATGGGGGGTTGGTACTTTCAGTCTTCTACACGATGACACCAACAGAATTCCTGGATTGTCCATAGTTATTTCTTTCTTTTAAAAAATGCTCATATCTCGGAAACGGTAAGAGATAGCTCAAAAATAACGAAATTTTCGGGGGGTATCCTATGGGGGGGTTGGTACTTTCAGTCTTCTACACGATGACACCCAACAGAATTCCTGGATTGTCCATAGTTATTTCTTTCTTTTAAAAAAATGCTCATATCTCGGAAACGGTAAGAGATAGCTCAAAATAACGAAATTTTCGGGGGGTATCCTATGGGGGGTTGGTACTTTCAGTCTTCTACACGATGACACCACGAGAAATTCCTGGATTGTCCATAGTTATTTCTTTCTTTTAAAAAAATGCTCATATCTCGGAAACGGTAAGAGATAGCTCAAAAATAACGAAATTTTCGGGGGGTATCCTATGGGGGGTGGTACTTTCAGTCTTCTACACGATGACACCAACAGAATTCCTGGATTGTCCATAGTTATTTCTTTCTTTTAAAAAAATGCTCATATCTCGGAAACGGTAAGAGATAGCTCAAAAATAACGAAATTTTCGGGGGGTATCCTATGGGGGGTTGTTACTCTCAGTCTTCTACACGATGACACCACGAAAATTCCTGGATTGTCCATAGTTATTTCTTTCTTTTAAAAAATGCTCATATCTCGGAAACGGTAAGAGATAGCTCAAAAATAACGAAATTTTCGGGGGTATCCTATGGGGGGTTGGTACTTTCAGTCTTCTACACGATGACACCACGAAATTCCTGGATTGTCCATAGTTATTTCTTTCTTTTAAAAAAATGCTCATATCTCGGAAACGGTAAGAGATAGCTCAAAATAACGAAATTTTCGGGGGGTATCCTATGGGGGGGTTGTTACTCTCAGTCTTCTACACGATGACACCACGAAAATTCCTGGATTGTCCATAGTTATTTCTTTCTTTTAAAAAAAATGCTCATATCTCGGAAACGGTAAGAGATAGCTCAAAAATAACGAAATTTTCGGGGGGTATCCTATGGGGGGTTGGTACTTTCAGTCTTCTACACGATGACACCACGAAAATCCTGGATTGTCATAGTTATTTCTTTCTTGAAAAAATGCTCATATCTCGGAAACGGTAAGAGATAGCTCAAAAATAAACGAAATTTTCGGGGGGTATCCTATGGGGGGTTGGTACTTTCAGTCTTCTACACGATGACACAACAGAATTCCTGGATGGTCCATAGTTATTTCTTTCTTTTAAAAAATGCTCATATCTCGGAAACGGTAAGAGATAGCTCAAAAATAACGAAATTTTCGGGGGGTATCCTATGGGGGGTTGGGTACTTTCAGTCTTCTACACGATGACACCACGAAAATTCCTGGATTGTCCATAGTTATTTCTTTCTTTTAAAAAATGCTCATATCTCGGAAACGGTAAGAGATAGCTCAAAAATAACGAAATTTTCGGGGGTATCCTATGGGGGGTTGTGTACTTTCAGTCTTCTACACGATGACACCACGAGAATTCCTGGATTGTCCATAGTTATTTCTTCTTTTAAAAAAATGCTCATATCTCGGAAACGGTAAGAGATAGCTCAAAAATAACGAAATTTTCGGGGGGTATCCTATGGGGGGTTGTTACTTTCAGTCTCTACACGATGACACCAACGAAAATTCCTGATTGTCCATAGTTATTTCTTTCGTTTAAAAAAATGCTCATATCTCGGAAACGGTAAGAGATAGCTCAAAATAACGAAATTTTCGGGGGTATCCTATGGGGGGTTTGGTACTTTCAGTCTTCTACACGATGACACCAACAGAATTCCTGGATTGTCCATAGTTATTTCTTTCTTTAAAAAAATGCTCATATCTCGGAAACGGTAAGAGATAGCTCAAAAATAACGAAATTTTCGGGGGGTATCCTATGGGGGGGTTGGTACTTTCAGTCCTTCTACACGATGACAACCACGAAATTCCTGGATTGTCCATAGTTATTTCTTTCTTTTAAAAAAATGCTCATATCTCGGAAACGGTAAGAGATAGCTCAAAAATAACGAAATTTTTCGGGGGGTATCCTATGGGGGGTTGGTACTTTCAGTCTTCTACACGATGACACCACGAGAATTCCTGGATTGTCCATAGTTATTTCTTCTTTTAAAAAATGCTCATATCTCGGAAACGGTAAGAGATAGCTCAAAAATAACGAAATTTCGGGGGGTATCCTATGGGGGGTTGTTACTTTCAGTCTTCTACACGATGACACCACGAAAATTCCTGGATTGTCCATAGTTATTTCTTTCTTTTAAAAAATGCTCATATCTCGGAAACGGTAAGAGATAGCTCAAAAATAACGAAATTTTCGGGGGGTATCCTATGGGGGGTTGGTACTTTCAGTCTTCTACACGATGACACCACGAGAATTCCTGGTTGTCCATAGTTTTATTCTTTTCTTTTAAAAAAATGCTCATATCTCGGAAACGGTAAGAGATAGCTCAAAAATAACGTAATTTTCGGGGGGTATCCTATGGGGGGTGGTACTTTCAGTCTCTACACG